GTGTCAGACTCCTTCATGGACACCAGATATTGTTGGACTGTAACACCCTGTATCCCCAGGAGGAGGAGAAAGAGGAGACAGAAGAGTGAGACCTTCATGTAGATTAGATGTTGGTGGACTGTAACTCCCAGGAGGCAGGAGAGCAAGGCCTTCAAATAGATCAGATATTGTTGGATTGTAACTCCCAGGATTCCCCAAAAGGCAGAGTCAGGAGGACAAGACCTTCTTTGGACTGTAACTCCCAGTATCCCCAAACAGAGGAGGAAGAGGAGACAGATGAATGAGACCTTTATGGAAACCAGAAAGCAGATATTGTTGACTGTAAGTCCCAGTATCCCCAGAAGGAGGAGAAAGAGGAGACAGGAGAGTGAGACCTTCACGTAGATCAGATGTTGGTGGACTGTAACTCCCAGGATCCCCAAAAGGCAGAATCAGGAGGACAAAACCTTCTTTGGACTGTAACTCCCAGTATCCCCAAACAGAGGAGGAAGAGGAGACAGAAGAGTGAGACCTTTATGGAAAGCAGATATTGTTGGGACTGTAACTTGCAGTATCCCAAAAGGAAGAGGAGGAGACAGGGGAATCAAGACTTCTTAATGTAGACCAGTAGCCTGTAACTCCCAGTATCCCCCACCTTTGCAATGCTGCCTAAGGCTGCTGGGAGTTGCAGTCAAGAATATCCAAAGGGTATTCCACAATTCACAAAACCCTGGTGTAGAACATGAGAAATCAGGAGTAGGAGGCTGAGCAGGGACTAGAGAGGAGGAAGCCTCTGGGTAGTTCATTCCGAATAATCCTGAATTAAGGCTGCGGAAGGAAAACATGTCCCATCTTGCTTCAGCGGCAGCAGGAATGAAGAGAAGGAAGGAATTCATGCAGTTTGAGGTCTATTTTTAAAAAACAGGAATGCATCAACTTTTTACCCAAAGGACCATCCAAAAATCGCCAACAGAAAATATATATTATCATCTTTAGCAATAAACCGAAAACATCCCTGCGGCACTAATGCAATATCCAAAGAATTGTATACTTCAATTGGGATTCTCATTCAATCTAAGCACGGCTTTATCTAAAGCTGGGGAAAGTGTCCTTGGGGAGACTGCATCTCCCAGAATCCCCAAGCCAACCAGTAAGGATTCTCATTCAATCTAAGCACGGCTTTACCTAAAACTGGGGAGAGTGCCCACGGGTGGGGTGGGGG